GAAGTTGCACAGAATGCACATGATATGAAAAATTATGTAAAATATAAGTATGATGCTTTTTATACGTAATTTATATATGCTTATAAATTATTATTGTAATATATTCAATTTATATTATTTATATTATTTTATATTTATATTATTTATATTATATTATATTATATTATTTATATATTATAAATTATTATTGTAATATATTCAATTTATATTATTTATATTATATTTATATGATTTATATTATTTATATTATATTATATTATAATACGAAATGAAAGTTCTATTTTCTTTGAGTTACATTCTTAAAAATATAAATTTGCATAAAAATTCACAACCTACAACTTTATTTAAATACACAACGATCAAAGTTTCATTTAAACCTTAACTCGACACATCAAACACTGGGAGCTAAACCATAAGAATTTACATTTTACATTATTTTAATTTTGGAACTTTTAATTTCATTTCATTTTTATTATCAGTCTCTATTGGAAAGAATACGCCTTAAATTTTCCTGACACACGACACAAATACAATACAATATTTCACAGTACTACCTGACACTGAAAATAGAAGACGTCGTTTCGTATGCATCAATCTCACCTGTCCTTGAAACCACAGAATCAGCGACCTTGCCAAAAATGTCTCACCCATCTCGGCTGTTCATTCCTTAAATTTCTTCAACTACGACCTTCCAGAAGTTTATGTACTGCTCGCCTGGCAAAGAGATCATTCCACATTCCTCTTTCAATGGCGAGCCGAGAGCTCGGAATTTCCGCGGCTTTTTTCTCGAGCGAATTTCAAAGGTGACCGCGCGCGTGTGCTTGCTTACACGCGTGCGTGCGTGCGTGCGTGGTGAAAGTGGGCGAGAGGTATTCGCCGGCTCATTGTGCAGACGTTTCACGGAAAGACAGAACTTCCCGGTTCTTCCGATTACACAACCGGACGGACCAGTTTTTGGCCAGCCAAACACCGACACCCAGCCGACCGAACGAAATCGAAAGCGAAAGGAACAAAACCGACCGGATCGATCCTTCGATCACCGACTGGTGGAGCTCTGGTGCACGAACCAGAGAGAAAAAGCGCCTTTTGACACCGTGTTTGTCGTGGCCCGGGGACACGAAAACCGTGGATTGGATCGAGATTGACGACCGAAGCGTGACTTCTCCTATCTCCCTCTCCGTCTCGATTTTTCCGCTCTCTGTCTTTTTTCTTTCTTCTTTATCTCCAAGTTCACGACCGCAGGCTACGTGCTTTGCTGTTGGTAAGTTTGATTGTCGTTGATCACAGCCAATTTACACTATATACAAGATGAGAAAAATCGTTAATCGATCGTCGCTAATTAAGGGGATATTCTGGTAATCCGGCTTGAAAAAAATCGACTTTTTGCGGATTTTTTTTCTAAGGAAATTATGTTTTTTCTCCCAAGGAAATCAGATTTATTCATACTTGAAGAGTATTTACAATTTTGTTTTTAACGAAATTAATGAAAGTTGTGGAAATTATATAGCCTTGGGTAAGGCATGTTTTTAAAAACGGGTTCGAATGGCCGACGTGATTCCGGTTCACCTGGTTATTTGAAACTGAAAAACCAAAATCCATCTTAATTAGTGTAAAGATGGCTATCGCATCAATCACGGAAACAGCGAAATTTCGAAAATTTAAAAAATGACAGCATTTTGAAATTAAAATATCGATTTTCCTTTTTGTTTTTTGGGTGGTAAAAAAAAAAAAAAATAGAAAAACCATCAGATTTTGAAATCCGTGGTTCATGCGATAAAGGTACTTCTGGTAAAGATCTCCTCCAAATTTCAAGTCAATCGGTCAATTAAAACGTGAGATTTCCTGTCAGTCAGTTTAAAAAATATGGATTTGAGAAAAACACACTTGAAGTTTTTGTTACCCGTTGTACAAAAATATTCATACTTCACGATCAATCGAGCAGTACANAAAAATAAAATATTATAAACTAATAATGATGTAGAAATAAATAATAATATAAATAATAATATTATAAAATAAAATATTTTCCTGAGAAAAAACACGTTTGAAGCTTTCGTTACCCGTTGTACAAAAATATTCATACTTCACGATCAATCACGCAGTACAAAAAATAAAATATTATAAACTAATGATATAAAAATAAATAATAATATTATAAAATAAAATATTTTCTTGAGAAAAGACACGTTTGAAGCTTTCGTTACTCGTTGTACAAAAATATTCATACTTCACGATCAATCGAGTAGTACAAAAAATAAAATATTATAAACTAATAATGATGTAGAAATAAATAATAATATAAATAATAATATTATAAAATAAAATATTTTCCTGAGAAAAACACACTTGAAATTCTTGTTATCCGTTGTACAAAAATATTCATACTTCACGATCAATCGAGCAGTACAAAAAATAAAATATTATAAACTAATAATGATGTAGAAAAAAATAATAATATAAATAATAATATTATAAAATAAAATATTTTCTTGAGAAAAACACACTTGAAGTTCTTGTTATCCGTTGTTCAAAAATATTCATACTTACGTTACGAGCAGTACACCGTTTCCTCTAAACATCTATAACTTTGCTAATTTTACAAATTCAATCCTCGTACATAAATTTTTTTTAAGCCGGATTACCAAAATACCTCGTTAATGATTCATGGTGAAAGTTCCGTGGAATCAATATCGTTCACGGTGTTTTGTTTGTCCCGTTTATTGGATACATTCCGAGAGCGATAAGGGAGAAGGTTGCGAATAAAAATTGAGAGAAAGGTAGCCAATATATACATACAGTGATATCATGGAAGTTGATTTTGTAGAATTCTATATTTCGCGTAGAAAAATAAATTCCAGCTTCGAATTTATTCTTCATCTGTCGAACGAGCAATTTCTGTTTATTCAAATTTCACTTATGTCAAGTAATATTTCTACTTATTATTTTTGGGGAATCACGAAAATATTTCCGGCAGTAGATTCTCAGTTTATTAATACTCCATGGCTTCCTTCGAAATGGTCTTCTACGATTTTCTCTATTGCGTGTACGCATGGTACGAGGAGAAATCTAACGAATTTCTGCGAATCATTCGATCGTAGATAATTTACAGAAATAATTTATAGACGCGCGTGATGAAATCTTGTCGTTTCCATTTCGATTTCGCTCGCTGGTCAAATGTAGCCATTCATCGTTATAGAGCAGGATCTTCGAAACGTCAACACCTATAGTGGCACCTATAAAATTATACAAACGTTTCGGACACATGCGAAGAATTAAACGCTTTAAGTATTTTAACTATCGAAGTAAAGATTTTGAGCTTTAAAACATGACCAATGATTTTTTCCTTACAAAGATATAAACAGTTATTATCGACAATTTTTCAACATTATCGATCCCTTACCGTGTTTTCAAGTTTCTTTCAAATTTTAATTGCATCACAGCCGCTTAAAATTTCGAAATGTATTTCACATTTGCATGAAACTTGTATGAGCATTTCAAACACTTTCAGTTACCATTGTAAAGTAGCTGTATGGCGAGGATGGCACTGATTATAGTAATATTCGAGACGCATCGAAAGGGGTAGATAAGATCGAGACACGTTCGAGCGGAATAAAAGCATCGGGGCACGTTTGGTGACGTAATCAGCCGAGAGTTTCGGCTCTTTCGAATTCACTTTCTGCATCTTTTCGTTACGCAAGTGGGTGAACCAGTTTCTGGACAAACCACCTTTGTGTAATTATGCTTGGGCAGCTGCCTCTGTAGGAACAATAACGTCTTCTATTGCCGTTCACGTGAAAGCTGTCGTCGTGCATGTATCAAGGAAAGTTCCAGTTACAGCACCTTTGTTAAATTTTATAAGCCTGCGAAGAATTCGAGAGATTGATATCGAGGCAGCGGTGTTGTTTTGTTGAAAATTGAACAAAATTACAACTATATGTTGCAATGATTTACGTAACCTGACACTTGGATGAACTGGAATTATGGATGAATTATACTGCGATAAATCATGTAATTTTTGACACGTAAACACGCTCCTAACGCATTATCAACTGTAATTTAAATTTAAAACTTTCGATCTGCATTTCGCAGTGACCATGTGTATAATTTGTGTTGGCAATTTTTTATGCTGTTGGTAATATTAATTTAAAAATGCGAGAGTAAAAGTTTTATGCTATTTTATGTGCTTGTCACCACGTATTAAATACCAGAGTTTTATTTTATTAAAAATAGGAGAAATCCTAAAATTTTTGATATCATTAAGAAAATGTTCTTTTTTTTTTAGCTCTGCTAAAATCTCTTGGCTCATTTCTTAATTATAATATTCTCGTTTTCTCTTATATATCTTTTTATTATCATTTAACAAAATTTTCTCTTTCGATCTATATCTTAATAAAATTGAAGAAGTACTAATTGTAATAAAGAATATTATTGGAAAGAATTGATCAGATTAGATACGTGACTTTTATAAAATCTTCGAAACACTGAAGATCCTTTTACTCGTGGAAACGAAAACAACGTCGAAGGGAAAGTTCAAAGGCCACAGTAGTTGATTAATTTTCTCTGTTTAAAAGTTAAAGGGGATTTCAAAGAGGTTTAAAAGAAATAACAGAGGATTATATCAATTTTCTAACAACGATAAAAATTGTATCCCATTTCTAAAATTAAATGGAGCTGCAGGCACATCCAATAGTTTACTTTAATGATCGAGTATTGTAACGAGCATTCACTTAATAAAATTTCCTATCTGGCATTTTCTTCGAACGCACTCGGAAATACTTAAAATACCTGGTGTTTCTAATTTTTTCAAAGAGAGTTATATCATACAAGATAGTTACGAAACAATGATGAGATACTCTGAAGAGAAACATTCTGACAAAATTTCAGTTATACAAATATTACTCTCTGCGTGCATTCCATGGATTCCTTTCGTATTTCAATCTCAACCGCAGGGAATCACAAGAAATCCGCGATCTGATTATCATAATAGAATCAAGAAACACTTGTGGTTAAAATATGTATATTTGTTTAAAGCTTCGGCTAACAACTCGTGTTTACACATACGATTTTCTCCCAGGAAAGGAGAACGCATTACGGTAAAAATAATTCGCCTTAACGAATATACGATGCTCAATGAACAACGCACGCGATCGATGGTACAAAACGCATATATACTAAGGCTAATACGGAATATAGATTTTCTCCTCATGAAAATTGCAACGATGCCGAACGAGAGAACGTTAAGTTCGTACGGCCGTTACAAACCGAGCTCGTTTCCCATTTTACGGTCGAAATATCGTCCAATTACGTTACACGGAATTTGTGGGATTGTCTGAAACGTGGCTCACGAACCGTATCGCGAAGGCAGTTTCGAAAACGAGCTTATCTCTTCGTCTTTTTCTTTCTTTCCTTGTTCTTTCTTTTTTTTTTTTAATATTTTTAAATTCGATCTGTCGTGACATCTCACACATCAAACTTATGCACGCAAGTATGTATTTACAATTGGGTTTACAGTCGCGTTAACGCCAGAACACTGCCGAACATTCAGATATATCGAAGAAATCGAAGTAAACAGTAGAATCTTGATCATCTGCAAAATAACAGTACACCGTGATCGTTTTTTCGATGATCTTTCGAGAAACTATATGAAACGAGGGATAAAAGAAGAATGGTTCGTTTCGAACTGTTTCAAAAATATTTTGAATAAAAATATTGGAGTTTGTTTTTAAATGGCGAAAGTTTCGAATGAACATGACTGGAATTTCTATATTTGTTTTGTAGTCTTTCTTGGGGAAAAAGAAAATTTTCTTTTAAAAACTCTCGATTAATCGACATTCCATTCCATCGATTATTCTTAGAGCATAATACGTGACATTTTAATAATGTCGGGAAAATGATGAACAATAATAGTCTTTCTGAAAGGTGCTTTTAGTTTCAAAGGATTAAGAGACATTAACATAGCTAAAGCCTAAAGCTATCTTATAAATATTAACATATGAAACAAGATCAAGAACTTTTGCACCTTTTATCTCATAACTTTTTTTCTTCTTTTTTTTGAAGCAAAGAACTTCAGATTTTTTACCATTTTATCAAGAATCAAGTAACAGTTAGATTTAATTTTATGCAACTGGAAGAAGCAACAGTGAACAATATATATAAAACGAATTTTTGGAATTTGGCATTTCACAGACATATAGAAGAAGAATTCCAGACGAAATATTGCTCCTTTCTTCTCCCCACCGATAATAAAGGCTCCATTAAAAATAAGAAAAAAAAAAGATTTGAGAAATTACAAAAAGATTCTGGAGAGATGCATCGCTGTGTTTTGTGATGAAAATTCCGATGGTGAGAAAAGAAAAATTATAAATCGATCGCCGTGACTGGCAGTGGCAGTTCTGGCATTAAACTGGAGTTTCAGAGAAGAAAAGCGCGACTCGTGCCTGTCTCGTACCGTTTATCTGGCACTGTTTAACAACGGAGGACGTAAATCTCTTTGTCTTTATTAAACGCCGGGGCCGAGTTGTTTGAAGGCGGGCGACACGAGGAACGGCCCTCGACACGCTGAAACGATTTATGCGCTCGCATGAGCGCAGCTCGCACGCGAGCTTAATTGCACGCGCGTACGATTGTCACGGCTCGCGGTTAAATTAGCAACGGATACTTACAACAATAACGATAATTAGAGGACGCACGCGACGTTTCCAACTCGACGCCTTCTCTTTCGCGTGAAAATCGCTCGTTCTCGATCGAGCTTTTACCGCTCTGTTTAGGCGTTAGGTCAGTCTAGTCGCTTTTTCCTTTCAAGCTCGTCTAGCAAATTTTTTTTTATCATAAAAATTTGTTACTGATCGCACGTAACAAAATGAAATTTAATGTTTCAATTCGCGACAAATGAAATTTAGAAAGTTTGTAAATTATTCAGAATTCAGAAACTGGAATTTGGGAACTAGTTATTTTAATCGAGGTGTCTCTAATAGAATCATCGATGATTAAAGTGTAAAACTTGCATCAGAGAAATTAAATTACATGGAACAGGAAAACGTGTTTGAATACGTGTTGAAGAACACAAGCTTTTATTGAGAAATTACTCAGATATCGGAAAATGTATCATTGCAAGTCTATAAGATTTCTCTAAAAAATTCACTTTACTTTACAGTTCCAGTTTCAACATTAGAACTACCAAAGCAGTCAAAATGACCAATTGATAACTTTTGTTAGATATTTTAGAAAACAGTTTGTTAGATATAAAACAGTGTATTTTTAGAGACTTGATTTCTCGTAAAATACATAAACAGAAGCTTGCGTACCCTGTTTTATCATAAAGATTTTCTGGTTTCATTTACTTTAATGTCTCTGATGGAAATTTTATGCTTTATTTGTCGGTAGTTTTAGCGTTAAATCTAAATTAAAAAAAAAAAAGAAAAAAAAAGACACATTTCATACACACCAACCTAACATCGTACATCTTATTTGGTCCTTCTTTTTTTTTGGTTTCTGACTGTATTGGTTGATCGGGAGGTTTCTCTATCCCGAAGAAGGGGAAAAGTGTTTTCAAACGTTCGGAATTGCATAACCTTGTTTGAACATTCGACTCACTGTTCCGTAAAAAAAAAAATCTCTCCTTTATTAATGAAGTATCGAAATCGTTGAGAGAATCATCGTGATCGCCGGCAGGATTGTCGTCGCGCTCGTCGTCGTCGCTTTGCCGTAGAATCCGCTTCCGTAGACCTGCAGACCGGCGGTCTCGATGCTGCGCTTGCAGTAATCTCCGTCTGCAATCAGGGTAATCTGTGGTTAGCTTGTCGCGAAAGCTAGTGATATCACGCTATCACGTTTACTGTTATTACTGTCGATGAATGACTTTACCGCGATATTTGTTTAGTGGGAGGAATTACGGTTCGAAGTGATTCAGTGTAAGTTGCAAAAATAAGATGATGAAAGGATCGAAGGTGTAATAATGGGTGTTATTCGAATTGACGATGATCATTAAATTTTTCTACTCTTGATTCAATGATGCATTTCACTATTCGATAATCGTGGAAAAAAGAATCTATAAATTGATTTCAATTTCATCTGCGATTAGATGATCAAATAATTGTACGATCCTATAACTAAGTAGTGTCTGTAATTAATCTGCGTATTTCATGATAATAGTAATTATACGATACAATTATATGATGATATTAATCTATGATATAATCATTAAGTAATCTGCAATTTGAATCGTTGGAATTGGTTAAACAATATCTGTATCAATCACAATACGAATTTATATGATGGTATCAGTCTATAATACAATAAACGAGTAATGTGTAATTTGTAAAAGTAGCACAAACTTGAATGAATCTATAATTTGACTTGGTAATTAATGTAATTAATTCCAATACGACTTACAATTTAACGAATTGTGACCCAACGATTTAAATTAATAAATTTAAGCTATTGATTTATCGTGATTAAGACAATAAAAGTGATTTTTAATTGATGCATTATGATTACGATATTGTAAAAGAAAAATTTGTAATTTGACTTTATAATTACTCTGGAATGAAAATCAGATTTTTCAGTAATAATGTAAATTTTTAAGGCAATGCAATTATTCGTAACGATACATTGCAATCATGAATAATTTTATATAAATAATATAATTTTACATACGTATATTTGTACGTATTAATATTTAATATTTTGTGAAATAATATAATTTTATATACATATATATATATATATGGTTCTAAGGTTCTAAGGTATTACCAGTTGTCACTGTAAATGCTGTTATTCGAAGTAGCTCGAAAACGAATTGATACAACGCTGTACATTGTGAATTTTAAAACTTCGTTGTCCGTCGCTTGGATCGATCGATTTTTCTATTTTCATCGCTACTCGTCTCGGAATTTCGTTTCGGTCTAAATTACACGTTGATGAAATTTTTCTTGTTAAACGTTCACGAACATCGCACGCGTTTCAATTTTCCGATCGAGCGACAGATTTTTAAGTTTCTCTAAAATTCCTGACCTCGGTGATATAATTGAAATAATTCTTTATACCGCCAGTTTCTCGCAGATAATTCACAAATGAATTCGCAGTCAAATCACTTGTAAAAATCCATAGATAATGTATTCACCAGTTCAGGTGAAGACAAGATTTTAATACTATGCGCAACAAACTCGTGCAATACGCAATCATCTGCCCAATAAGGTCGATTCTTTCAACGTCTGCAGTTGTCGACATTAAACATGCCATGATCAACGCTCATAATGTCTCGTTGATCAGTCAGAATAATTTTGCATACAAATTGCTCAGCCTCGGATAATTCTCGTTAAGAATCATAGACACACCGGATTTGTGGAGAAGTTGAAGACGCAAAAGTGTACAGAACCTGTACACGAAAAAACATACACATGCTCGCGAAAATATTTCAAGACCTTGTGGAAACGAAGTATGAATATTTTCATGTTCGATCAATTCTCTGTTTCAAAAGTTTAAGTTTGTTGCAAATATGAAAATATGTTTCAAGATATTCGGTACAGGTACAGCTTCTGCATCTTTTGTACAAGTGTGATTTGTACGATGCAAGTAGTATAGGTCAATACAAGTGCCGTCACGCACGTTTAAGGCGATTAATATCCGTTTGCACCAAATATTTCGTACTTTGTAAATACATTTCCAAATTGCTTTCAAATTTTATTAATATATTTATGTCACGAATGTTTTCTTTTTTTTTACAGAATTAATACAACACTTTGCGTGAAAGTTTTACTATGTTTCGTGAATGAAACAAATTTAGAATTTATTTGTTTACTTGTACGCGTTCACTTTCCTTACTTTTTCTAGAATATAATTACCAATGATTAAATGAAAAATATTACATATTTCGTTAAAAAAAAAAAAAATCACTGAACCCTCTTCTCCTCCAAAAAATAATACAAAAACAACAAGAAATGATAAATTAAATTACTTCGATCATAACTCTTTTCGCTTTATCTGTTTTACGAGGGCAAAATTGTGCTTGTTTTTTCAAGTTTCGTAGAGGTTCTAAGGTTCTAAGGTTCTAAGGTTCTAAGGTTCTAGAGCTCCAGAGTTCTAGGGTTCTATAGGGTTCTAAGGTTAAAGGAGATATACTATTACATCTGTTGCAAAAGATTGATAAATCGTTCACGAGTTGAAAGGAGCTTTGTAAACGTGTTCTAAACCATTCTAAAATTCCATAATCGAGATTAATCGTGGCGAAGAAAAAAGCCAACTTGTCTTGATCGAGGAACTAGAACAGGTACCGTTTCCCCTTTCCACTCGTGACGTGCGTCCCGATCGCCATAAAATCTAAACGCCTTTTCCTTCCAGTTTACAAGTTATCGATTCTTGAAATTACGCGATCATCATCCCACGATCTCTCCTCACGTGTATCGACGCGTAACTTGTGTACCAAGCTAACCGCTCCGGTAATTAGCTGAGCCAGCTCTGCAATTCCAATAATTTCCGTGATCATATAGACTTATATAGACCGCGATTATATCCACTTTTGTAATTAATACTGTACACGAATACTAAACTGTTGAATTTATGTCGCGATAACTCGTTTTTCCTTGTAAAAATTTCGAGTTTAACATTCTCTCCTCTAAACTGCCGACCACAAGTGTTATATTTTCGTGCGTATATAAAATATATTCGAAATAAAAATCTTTAATTCAATTTGGTTCCTGATCTTATCTGAAATGACCATATAGCGAGTTGGAAATTTTTATGGTGTAAATCAAGGTTTTGAGAATTTGAATTTAACTCTCGAGTAAAAGTTGTATAACTGTAACAAATCTTGTGAAGTTATAAATAACTATAGTAGTTTGTATCATATCATATTGGAAAAATTCAAGGAATTTAATTATATTTTGCATTTCATCTCTGACTGAGATTGGTAATAAAATTAAATTGAATTAAAAATTCGAAAATCAAGTAGTCCAAAATCTAAATTTTTATGGCTTCTGAAGTCCAATGATGCCAGTTCTAGATCTCGTAGAATATCATACTTTTAGTTTCACAATTTTATTCGTTATTATTTATTATGACAATTATTTTATCATAATTACATACAATTATAGAAACAAATACAAGAAGATTGTTATACGAAAAATATTTGAAACACAATAGCAAATTGCACCATTATGATTTTTAATTCAACAAGTTCTCGTTATTTATCTCTCTGTTGTCTAAACTTTCAATTATCACATACTAAATTCTCACTTTTTCAGATCAGGAATAATTTTAGACACTCGTGTGTTGAATGAAATATTTATTTTACTTGACAGTCGCGACAGGTTGCCCGTGAGATTCAATAAAATTTACGGAAGATCGTTTGTAAAAATTTCGAATTTAATACACCATTTCTAGTCGCCAGTCATTGACGAGAAAAAGGAAAGAAGTGATAAAGCGCGACGCGAAATGCTTTCTCCGTTGGGAACAGTGACGTACGAAATCGAAAGGGCCACTACGGGCGCTCTTTTCAGAAGGAATCGAGAGGCAGAGAGTAAAGGAAGGAAAGAGGAACGAACGGTGCTTTTGGTATGGCGATCGACAGAGAAATTATACAACCGGCGCTCTTTCTCCTCGTAACGCACGAGTCACGTACATCTGCGCTTTCCATCACCGTCACTTCTCTGAAACGGCCCATTTTTCTTCTGTGTGTCGCTGAGCCACCGTCCTCCCTCCTCTTTTTTTACAAAAATTATAAATCAATTATTAATTTAAATTATTAATATTAAATTACTAATATTAAATTAAATTATAAATTATTAAATTTTTATTAAATTGTTAAACACTAAATATTATTAAACCCTCTCTTTTTTACTACAATGATATTATTAAACACTGCCTTTTAATTTTTATTTTATTATTTTTTTAATTTTAATTATTTTTAATTATTAAAACTGCCAAATTAATAATTATAAATTAATTATTAATTTAAATTATTAGTATTAAATTAAATTATAAATTATTAAATTTTTATTAAATTATTAAACACTAGATATTATTAAACCTTCCCTTTTTTACTACAATGATATTATTAAACACTGCTTTTTAATTTTTATTTTATTATTTTTTTAATTTCAATTATTTTTAATTATTAAAATTGCCAAAGTTGGTAAAAATGGTTAACTTCCAATTTTTGAAAGCAATCTTGCATTACAACATTTATAGTGTTGCGTTTTTTTTTTTTTTTTTAGAGATTCGAATGATTTTTGTAAAATATACGAACAAAAGTGTCATAAATTATCGTATAATAAATCTTTTCTTATTCCTTGTATTCTAATTTCTTTGACACAATTTTTTTTTTCATACTGTAGTCCTCGGTAATTCTAGTTTTAGAGATTCGAATGATTTTTGTAAAATATACGAACAAAAGTTCGTGTCATAAACTATCGTATAATAAACCTTTTTCTATTCCTTGCATTCTGTAATGATTTCTTTGACTCGATATTTTTATACTTTAGTCCTCGGCAGTTCCAGCGTTAACATTGGGAAACAGAAGAGATATAGGTACGTACTTTACACAGAGAATGTGTATTTAAACTTTTGATATTGAAACGCTTAATAGGATCCAAACTAAATATTTAACTAACCCACAGCTAATAGAAAAGGAGAGACTTAAAACTGAAACACGTTGAATCTTAAAATCTTCCTCGTTACTCTATCTTCTGCCGTGGTTTTCATTTACGATCGTCGATCATAATTAAAGACACTTGTTTGTTTTAAGTAAGAGGTACCTTCAACTCTGCATGACAGAGCTAAAAATCCTGTTTCTATTTCGAAATCACCTGACAAATTACAGTTCTTGAATTCACATAAACTTTTTCTCCACCTCTGAGGGTACTATTTATTTGCCATTTCAATCAGACTTTTTATACCTTGACAGATTGGCATGAAAGTTACCCTGTATTTTTACATTTTTCGATCGAACGTCACGTTTACTCAACTTTTACGCACTATTTCGTTCTTAATGGATTAGGAAACTACGTGTAACACGTAACACGTGTGTGTGTGTGTGTGTGTGTGTGTGTGTGTGTGTGTGTGTGTTGCCGAGGTAAATCGAGCGGGCTTCGAGGCGCAACGTGCAATGGAAATCGAGAGTAAAGTCGCCGAACGTGTCTCACGATTCAACGTCTCTCACTCCTTCGATAGTATAAGCGACTCTTACCGGGCCATGCTCGCGTTCGTTCCTACGTTTTACTCCGATTTCGCAATTCCGCCAGTCCCACGGACAGAGAACTTCACGATCTGTGGCCCAACAGGACCCTGCTTTGCGTTTAACGCGGAAATAATCGTGACGTTTCCTCTGTGTGAATTTCAGAAACGATTTCCTCGCGATACGATGTGTACGTCGAATGAAAAAGCTCAGTCATCGTATAAAAAAGTCTTTGTACCATCTAAGAAACGAAATTGCTTTATTTTTCATTTTAAAGCACCGCCTTCGAAACGTGTATGATTGGTGGAGTGAATTTAATTTTAAACTAGTAAGTAATTTTAATTACTTTGGTGGAGTAATTTAATTTCAATTTAATTGAATATGTTTGACTTTGTTACAATTCTGTTAATTCTGATATTGTTTGTTCGGTTGAACTGAATGATTAATAACAATATCTCGAATAATATAATCGTGAAATTCTGTTTCGTGCACAATATTTAAAGACTTATTGCATCGTTAGAAGATGAAAAAAGAGAATAATCTGTTACTTTCGAATAATATCTACTGACGTGTTTTGTACAGAATTAATTGCGTGATTAATTTTATAACAATCGTATTTTCTTAACGTCCGACAATAAAAACCGTAAATAAAAATATTCAATATGGATAAAAATTTTCAAATATTCAACAGAGGAAAATACTCAGAACATTCAAACATATTCGTTGCGTACTAAATTCCAAAAATTATTTTTCAGTAAAATACGTAGGATCAAAATATTCTCCCGTAGTTTCTCTGAGAGTACATTTAATTACTACATGTTTCAAAATTCCTGTCCATTAAATATGGATATTATAAACGCTGATGCAGTGAAAGGAAGAAAAACAACAAACAGAGAAAGAGAGAGAAATGATTTCACGATTTAACACTAGAACTACGAAAATGGTCAAAAATGGACTAATTTATAATTTCTCAGAGTAGTTCTTCTAGAGATTTTAGTAATTATTTCCTATTTTCCATACATTCTAATCTCTCTGATACTAATTTTTATACTTTAGTCTTTAATAGAGAAGAAAGTCAATCAATCAGAAAGTCACGATCCTCAGGAATAATCATCCGAATAATGAATTTTTCCCTTTGTTTCTTTTTCTTTTTTCCCCTGCTATATCTTATTAACTACTCTAAGGACTAAAACTACCCTAAGGACTAAAGCATAGAATTCTCATCAGAGATACTAAAGTGAAAAAAAAATAGAAATACAATAGAGTACGCAAACTTTTATTCGTGTATTTTAAAAAAATCATTTAAACCTGTAAAAATACACTGTTTTGCATCTGTAATATGTGTAAAAAAAAAAAAAAAAATTATGAATTTTGACCACTTCGATTGTTCCAGTGTTAACGATTATACACGGCGTGAGGTTGCACAACGTGGCTCGCGAATTTGGCAAGAGGCTAGGCTCGGGAAGATGTAACGCGGCGATCCCGATAATTTCGCCGCGCGCCGGGATCGTAATTCAGTCGAGTGTCGTCACACGATGAATATTTGTAGCGCTACCCGGTCGGTAACTGGCACGTGGGAACTGCAACCTTCAATCTGTTACGGTAGGAAATTGCATAATTTGTAACAAGTTACGATGAAAGGCTGTGGCGCGAACGCTAGCTAGCGTACGCTTGTGTCTCGATGGTCGCGTGAATCGGTTCCTTGTTTCTAGGTTCCAGGCTGTTCGCGCTGGGCCCAGGATGTTGGAATATTAAAAATCGCGTAATACACCGGCTGCGCGGAGGAAATACGGTAGAACCTCGGCTCGCGTGAGTTGTAGCCGCTCGAACGTGATGTACGACGTATTATGCGGAATAGGGGAAATTATAGTAATTTCACCGTGGAATTTTAACACGTTCGGAGAGTGGATAGTAGAGATCAGTTTATTAGGAGAATTAATCGATCCTTATTACCCCACTCGTTCGGACGAATACAAAAATGTATATATAACTGGGAATATTTAATTAGGATAATTAATCGATATTAATTGTCCCATGTTTGTTGCACGAAATTGGAATCGTAAGGAAATTTAGCAATTTAGGAATATTTATTTTTGGCCATTTAATTCTACACGCGAAAAGTGTGAGAATACTGTTGCTCGTTTTAGAATGAAATGGCCGACTGAGAGGTGAAAAAATCGTGGAAGGGTAAAGTCAACGCGCATAATTTACGACTGTTCTTCGTTAGTTGAATCTTTCGATCCACTAATCGTTCGATCCACTAATTAAGATTAATCGTGTCGTTCGCCAAATGCCAGCTCTCTGTCATTGTTACGTGATTACGTAATGCGTGATTATTCCTCACGTTCGAGATCGAATCGTTCGATCGTCTGCAGTCTAGAGCAACGCGTTTGCAACCAATTAGTTTCGTACGACTCGACGTTGCAAAGTATAATGGTTATGACGCACGAATAATGGATCGGAGTAAAATGGTGAAAGGGTTGGTTAGCGTGGAGAAGAAGAAAAGAAAAAAAAACAAATGAGACGATCTCACGGGATTGGAATTGTAGTTAAGTGGATCGTGTGAATTCTAATGGACTCGTCGTGTTGTGTGAACATTGCCGGTCAAAATTGGTATTCAAAGATAAAGTTTTATACGAGGCTAGAGCGTTAGGTTGGCTCGTGTGAAACGTCAACTTTTCCTCTAAAACTTAACTAAAATTTGTAGCTTCTTTGAAATATTACATACTTATTAAATCACTAAATTTTTATTGAAAATTCGTAATTTTTGAGAAGCAAGAGTGACCAACTGTGCATGTAAATTAAAAAAACAAAGAAACGACGTCGCAAATTTACTGCTATATTATTGTAACAAATGGACTCACAGTCTTAAAAATTATGAGTGCAGTTAAAAAAAAGTGAAATCTAAATAGAAATTTATTACACATACCAAATATTACAAATGCTTAATGAAATATTCCACATATTTTTCCTATTACTTGCGCCTTTAAATATCGCACAAATTCATAAAAATTCTCGGTCTATTAATCATGTATTATAACCTCCTATAATAAGATTATGAAATTTAGAGAAAATTTTGAAACGCTCAACTCGCGATAAGAAACAGTCGAACGAAGATATATTATTACTACAAGCAACTCCCTATCCATATGTTAACAATTTTATTTTGCATACTTATTATTTTACCATTATATTTCATTAATACATCATTATAATATATAAAAATATAAAAATATTAAATGATAACATATAATAATATTATAATATATATATATATATATAAATATAATATATAATAATATAAAAATATTAAATAATCAACTGAGAACAATTTTTCTCTTACGACTCCTGCAGAAGATGAAAATTTCAAGAGAAATAACATTTCACACGCGCTAATCTGACGTCTTTTTCAATCACCAGCGCTTTAACCAACGTTTTAACCGCTTGCGCTGGCAACTGATTGCGGACCATAACGAGTGACCAAATACCGTGTACAATAATTCGCCGCAATCCTTTTGAACTCGTCGGTACGATATCACTGGATAGAAATTATCGAGAAGCATTAAATTCATTCTTTATTTTGCCTATTTTCTTTTACCTAGATATACTTAAAACTGAGAAGATATTGCAATTTTGGAACAGAAACATTCTCGACGTGCGTGGCACGTCATCCCAGCGCAAGAGGTTAAATATAAAAGGAGCAAGAGATGAGTTTCTTACCGTAAGACCAGCCGACGATGTCGCTGGTTCTCAAGTTCTCCGTTCTCAGCCAATCTTCGAGAGGCCTGAAGTACTCTCTGAGCGCGGACGCGTCCAGTCTGTCCTCGCCTATAGCTTCTCGGAGCGTCTCCTGCCACGGGATCGACGAGCCTCTCTCCATAATTTTTCTGCAACAACGAGGACGAGAAACAAAGGCAGATGTTAGCAGTTTTTCGTGGCACACGGAACGCGGGGAAACGAAACGCGACGCAACGCAACGAACAAGTTCGCAGAGGCAGCTGCGAACGTTCGGCCATTCAAATTACCGCGGGGGAAGCTCGTAATTCGTGCGTTGTTAGGCTTTAACGAGATCACCGGCGGCGCTTTCTCGGCGGAACACTGTTGCGACAACGCGCGCCGAACGCCGGAACAATGAAAAACCCCGTCAGCGGAGGAAAAGGAAAATCCGCGGGAGGAATTGGAACGAGAGAAAAATAAAGACGCGTAACGAGCCTTTTTCTTCCAGCCGCTAATTAGCCTATCTTTGGCAATCGTGCTTGAAACGCGTTCGAGTGTGCTCGAACCGCGTGGGTGTGTAATAATTATAATTCGCGCACACCAAGTGTCCCAGTATCGACAGTGCGATCCTGTACGGAAAAATAAGTCAACAATAAAGAATAGAATTTTTTTTTGAGAAAATCGAGCTTAAAAATTAACAGAGAAGAACAATCGACAGGAGATTAGTGAAACGCAAAAGTGAGTCGAGAATGGTGGGAAGAAATATTTTTCATTCGAAGCTTCAGTTTCAAGGCAATGAATTTTGAACGTGTTTCGTTAAAAATTGCCCTGTTACTTGAACAGATAAATTTTCAAACTCGATTTTCTTCAAAACGAAGCATTTTATTCTAGATTTTCGACTCATTATCACAGAAGTAGAGTAACCCATTGTTATAATGATTCTTTTTTCGTCAGATCTAGAATTCAAGCTCAAGTATACTTGATAAACTCGATTTTCTCAGAAACTAAATCTTCTTGTACGAAAAAAAAATTTTATTCCCTATTTTCAACTTACTTTTCCATACAGAATCACTTACTTTCTGGTTGCACTACCGATACTGCGGACACCCTGTATATTATAAGTTACGACGTTAAGAAGAAAAGCAGAAAACAGAACTTTAATATATACGTTTGATCCATCTTATGGCTTTCAGAAATTTTTCTCTTTTATCTGGTCAGTTGTCATTTTTCAGCAAATTTGCAACTCGCACTTTCTAGTAATAGAAATCGATCGGTAACGTGAATTTAAATGGATTCGAGAAGCACGTAGTCTCGTGTTATTTCTTTCGAGGATAATGCACGGTTGATCTCGACTAAGTAGCTACACCCACGTGAACACTGTGGCTTCTAGTGATTGGTATAATCATCATTGTCGTCGTCGTAGGGAACTTTATGTCATTTTCAGTACGTTAACTGCTGGAACACTTTGCGTGTTAAGTACTCTCGTCAGTTCACTTGGAATTTTAAATTTATAGCAGTTCAACTCCAATCAGTTTGCGAAACAGCTATCGACTACTTTGTTTCAAAACTAGCAAAGAGCGTATTTATAAATATTTCTCTTTCCCTTCGTTATAATTTCTTCAATCAATAGGCAAGAAAAAATCTAGCTATCGTATATATTTCAGTATTGCATATAATTTGTATATTTAAAGTTTGACCTGAAGATGAAATAAAAACGTGAAATTACCATCACTGTAACTCGATTTTACAAGATAAGATGATGCTTTCCTTTCCAATTTGACCACTGTTAATTAATTTTGAAGCAATAAACAATGTTTAGTCTATGAAACAAACTATTCTATCTAATTGTAATCAAAGTTCAACCGCTATTGCTGGCACTTTAATTTATAATTATTAATTTTAATTCCCTCATTTAATTTTCATTAATTATACAAAGAATTTCTTATCAATTTTATTATTTTATTAGTTTATATTTAATTTTAATAAATCATATATAAAATATTAATTTAATTAATAATTCTACCATAATTATATTTTAAATTTTATTTATAATATTATTAATATCATAATTTATTAAAAATTGAAATTTAACATGTAATTTACATTGAATATAATTAAATTTAATTAATAATATGTGACGAAACGCCGTTAAGAGATCGTTGACACGATCGAGAAAAATGATTATCATTTAAATTTAAATTTGAGAAAGGACATGTCCCTGCCTGAGACAAAAACATGTCAGCGAGACGGTCGTATTTAAATACAATGACCTGGAAGTAGTCATGGAACGAAGATATTCATCGCCGAGGACCCGACTGATGGGATCGTTCAACGTTTCGCTATCGTTCGACGTGGCCATTAAACAAACTCCAAAGTTCCAAGTGAATTTTAGTTCCGTTGTTGGACGGCGCTGCCGAGAAAAATCAGCTTTGTTACGTGATTTCAGGAGGAGAGTTTCTCTGTTACTCGAGCTTCTTTCCTCCTCGTGCCGAGTGATTGCGTCGCCTTCTTTCCCTCTGTTTTCCTGTTTGCTTTTGCGTTTGATCGTCGATTCCGAGACGCGGAGCGCGTAATCTCGGTTATTCCGGTACGACAATGCTCCGCGTTACATAAAGCGAACCTAATCCCCCATGAGGGATTTGTTTTTTTGTAACGGCGAGAGCTTTTCCATGAAGAATTGCTGATACAAGACACCTTCCATTGCGTAAGAGGGTGTCTGGCCATTTATCCGAGTCTTGTAAATGACGTGTGGTAACTGGAGACCGAAGGCTTTTTGAAAAATTTGTCTGCAAATGCATCGTTCGTTTCGTGTTTCGTCAGGCACGTCAATCACAGATTGACAGACTTGAGGAAGTATAATGTAATTAACACCTAAGGGATTTATCTAAAGATGGTCGAGATGACCAATTCTCAGAAGAACTTGGCAAGTTTCGATCGACTGTACTTCTATCAGATCTAAATTACTTTTTTTTTCGTGCGAAGTACATAAATACAAAATCTCGTGATCTTTACTGCGTTATAAACTTTTTTCTATTCCCTGCATTCTAATTTTTATAGCCGATGGTAGTTCTAGAGCTAATATGAAGGAAGAGATCGGGCGAATTTTAATTTAAATGTAAATTTAAATCTCGATGAAGCTGATTTTAATAGTTTGTAAATTTTTAGTGTTATTACTAATTATTACTGGTATTTCTTTTTTTTTAATAATTTCAGTTACAGGTAGCTTAATATTTCTGGTGCTTTTTATCAAATATTAGTTTCAGGTATCTTGACAATAAATTGATAGACTTGACGAATTAACGTAGAAAATGAGATTGGCCGAATTTTAATTTAAATGTAAATTTAAATCTCGATGAAGTTGATTTTAATAGTTTGTAAATTTTTAGTGTTATTACTAATTATTATTGGTATTTCCATTATTTCACTTTGTTAATAGTTTCAGTTACAGGTAACTTAATATTTCTAGTGTTTCTTATCAAATGTTAATTTCGTGTTTCAGGTATCTTGACCATAAATTGATAGACTTGACGAATTAACGTAGAAAATGAAATTGGGCGAATTTTAATTTAAATGTAAATTTAAATCTTGATGAAGCTGATTTTAATAGTTTGTAAATTTTTAGTGTTATTACTAATTATTACTGGTATTTCTTTTTTTTAATAATTTCAGTTACAGGTAGCTTAATATTTCTGGTGCTTTTTATTAAATATTAGTTTCAGGTATCTTGACAATAAATTGATAGACTTGACGAATTAACGTAGAAAATGAGATTGGGCGAATTTTAATTTAAATGTAAATTTAAATCTCGATGAAGCTGATTTTAATAGTTTGTAAATTTTTAGTGTTATTAGTAATTATTATTGGTATTTCCATTATTTCACTTTGTTAATAGTTTCAGTTACAGGTAACTTAATATTTCTAGTGTTTCTTATCAAATGTTAATTTCGTGTTTCAGGTATCTTGACCATAAATTGATAGACTTGACGAATTAACGTAGAAAATGAGATCGGGCGAATTTTAATTTAAATGTAAATTCAAATCTTGATGAAGCTGATTTTAATAGTTTGTAAATTTTTAGTGTTATTACTAGTTATTACTACTATTTGTATTGTTTCATTTTGTTAATAGTTATAGGTAGCTTAATATCTCTGATGCTTTTCACGCAAGCTTTGCGTGTTTTTAATTATTTCCACAATCTTGCTGACGCAATTGCCCTTTTTTGTTTGCATTCAATTATTGTCGAACTTTCACTGTTAAAAAAAACTGTCAATTTCTATAAAAAAAAAAAAAAAAAAAAAATAAATAAATAAAATGGAAACATATTAATTACCAGAACTAAATTAAATTAATAAATTAGATAAAGTTACTAAAACTCAAAGAAATTACACAGTTAATACAACAACGACACCTGTTCACAATTTTGAGAAAATTAAATTTAAAAAATATTCATACTAAGCATACTGAAACAAACTATAGACAAAAGCTTATTAGTCAAGACAAAAGCTATTAAGCCAAGAAAAATTTCGTACTGCACGCTAGATGAATATCGACAATATCTAAAAAAGATTGTTCGACTTGCCGTTGGAGCAAATGACGTCGCAAGAGGTGAAAGGTGAAAAGCGGAGGGTCGATTTCTCGAAAGTGAAAAGTGTCCCGTAGTCGACCGGCGTGTATGATATAACGAGTTTTTGGAAAGTCATTTGGATGCAGGCCACGGTGCAGCTCGCTTCCGGTTCCTTCGAGAACGGGCCACGCCCCCCGTGGGAATCGGCCGGACGCGCAGAAATATTTCGGTATGCCCCCGTTGCAATTTATATCGATCGCACAATTTCCGGTGTCGGCGAAATCGCCACTTTCCTGCTCGCTCTGGCCGCCAATATTTCGTAACGCGGGATGCTGGCTGCCGCGATTCCTGCGTTTTAACGTGTATCAGACATTTATGGAAAAACGTGACGTGATGTAGAAAACAAACTTTCCTATAGGCTGATTTACAAGAAAAAAGCGGCTGCCTCTGAGATCTTGGAGTTTCTACTAATTTTTGTTTTGTACGATCGACTGAAGTAGTTGTTGCAGATTTTTAATCCTTTGCCCTCGGAAACTTTTTTTTTTCTTTATATCATCCACCAGCAATTTATTTACGAAGTGGTATCATTTTTAAATAAAATGACAC